CCATAATTGACAAAGTCTAGATATTATTATTTCTTTATTGCTCATGAATGTAGACATTTTCCATTTTCTTTGTCGATTCCAAGTAGATTCCATGGAATCATCCTATCCTCCCACATCTCACATGGCACCTTTTTCTCTAACTTTAAATATTTTCATTCTAGAAAAGAGACAAGACGATCTCTCATCAATCACGACATGGATATCTTTTTTCCTTTTTACGCATAGTTTATGTTTCTTTTACGCATAGTTACCATACTCTGTAAATATATAACATTCTTGTAATTTTTGCTGATCTATGGAATAATTAGAATTTTTTACCTTCTTACATTCTATTGAGAAAAATATATTAGAATGCCATAAATTATCACATACTATTAATAATTATATTAGCATAATTATCTCTTACTAAATAATATTAATTATTTTTATCAACATATATTAATATTAATAATATTAATTAATATAAATTAATATTAAAATTGTATTAATATTAATATTATTATATATTAATTATTAATATTAACATTATTAATATTAATAATATTAAAATATATTAATATTAATATTATAATATATATATATATATATATATATATATATATATATATATATATATATATATATATATATATATATATATATATATATATATATATATATATATATATATATATATATATATATATATATATATATATATATATATATATTATTAATATATATTTTGTGAAAAAAAAAAACAAAAATCCAACAACTTTAACAGTGCCGCCATTTCAATAGGCGGCAAAGACCATTTTTCATGTGTTCCGTCCTTTAATTGGGCGGCAGTGTTTGCGTGTACAGTTTTTTTTTTCAAAACTATAGCAAAATGGTATATATACTTGATTTATATGACATTAGAAAATACAATGCAATAGTGTGGTATTTTGAAAAAAAATTAATTACACTATCTTTTAAATTTTCAACTGTATGAGTTTTTATATTTTTTTAATATTTTTATACTTTTATTCTATAGTTTGTAATAAATATAATAATAAAATAAATAATATAATATATAATCCAATTATTTCCTTTTAAAGATATGAAATAAGATAAATTCTCTACACGATTAAATCTGTTATTTAGGATCTTTTTGCAAGTTGGTGTTTAATTTTTTTTGAAAAGATTACATTTATATTTTGACAGGTAGTTGATAGCTTTAAAAAAAATTAATAAAAACAATACGATAATATGTACTAATGTATTAGGTTATTTTTAAAAATTTTCAAAATAGCAAATATGTATAAAAAGATAGACATTAATTCTCCAAATCTTTCCCCTCAAAACACTTCAAAAGGCAAACAAATTCTTAGTATCTGTCTTATATAATTTTGATCTTTTAAAATAAAAAAATTGTTAAATAAAAAAAAACACAAATAATTCAATTAATTTGGATGTGTTATTACTAATTTGATCAAAATCCAATATAATACAGTTAAATTTAAATATCTTTTATATCAAAATTACAATTAATTTCTTATAAAACACTATAAATTAATTATTGTATTCATGTAAAATATAATATATATAATATATTAAAATTAATACTAATGAATGAATATTATCAATTATATTTAAAAGTTGAAACATAAAATAGTAAAAAAAATTAAATTAAACTAAAAATATTGCTAAAAAATTAAAACCAACAAATAAACTATACCAAAAACAATTATATATATGATTTGATCTGGATTAATCATCTTAACATACTAAAAAAAAACCCAACAAATTATATATTTAATGGAATTTTATTTATTTATTTAAATTAATTTTATAATTTCCTACATAGAAAAAAGAATTAGTAGGGCCCATTTTACTAAACTCAACCCACCTAAAAGTGGGGAAAAAAATTCAGGAAGCTTTACCCCATACCCCTACACTTGTACCCACACCCCTACATTAAAAAATATTGGACCAAAATACCCTTGTTTAAATATCTATAATTTTGAAAATTTTTCATTTTTCCTTCATTCCCAAACACAAAGACATCCGGAAGCTCTCTTTCTTTTAACAAACCGGAAGACTTCAACCAAGACATCCGGAAGTCATTTTTTAACAAATACGTACCGGAACACTACAAGTAAGTCATCCGGTTTGTAACTTTTTTTTCATCTTCACCGGAAGACTTAACGAATGTCTTCCGGTTTGTAAATTTATTGATTTTGTCTTCCGGAACTCTTTGCTAAAGACTTCCGGTACACGCGATGAATCATTTCTTCACCGGAACTCTTATTAAAAGACATCCGGTACATATAACAACTATTTGTCTCACCGGAACACAATCATGAAGAGTTCCGGTGTGTTTTTTTTTTTAATTTTTTTTTAAATTTTTTTTTTACGTATTTATTTTTTTTTTTACTTATTTAAGTTTTTTTTTTACTTATTTAAGTTTTTTTTCTACTTATTTAATTTTTTTCTACTTATTTAATTTTTTTTCTACTTATTTATTTATTTATTTTTTTTCTACTTATTTATTTATTTATGTTTTAATTTTTAATTTTTTTTTTCCAGTGGTGCGCACACGAGGCAGAGATGGTAGGATCCCTCATGGAGTAGGACGGGGTGAGTCATCCAGAATGGCGGAAGAAGAGCATTTTGATGCATCTGCATCAGCATCCGCATCCGAGCCGGTTGGATATCCAGGAGGGCCGTCTGATACATCTCTGTTAGTTAAATACGAACAGCATATTGCAAACCGTATATGGTTCGGTCAGGTAAGAAAACGAAAATTATTTAATATTCAATAGAATTCAAATTTTTAATTGTTTTAATTGTTTTCAGGAGAGAGGGTCGAAAAAAGAGTTAAAGGTAGCGGGGCATGGATTGAAGTTGATGCAGAGGGTTCCACTACAGCTACCCAATTGTAACTTTAAGTTGTCATTCATAGCCTCCCAACATTTGACCATGTCACCAATACTGTTCCCCAACATTTGCTTTAACTTCCAATGAGCAGACTCGACCCTAAAATTAATACATATCAAATATATTATAAAAAAATTAAAAAAAAATACAATTTAGAAATACTAAAAACAAATACATACCGATTAGTCGTGGTGTTACCAAAATGTAGCAATCGATTAATCCATGCTTCAACAAATCTTTGTCTATGTGGTGTCAACCATGTGTCCTTCACATAATCAATAAATTCATTACAATCAACGCACGCCTGCTCAAGTTGTTTCAACGTTTGATCATACTCAACCTCATCACTAGCCCATACAACCTCCGTCCATAATTCGTCAATTTTCTTTTGCATGTCACTAGCCACATATTGTTTCCGTTTTGCACCAACATTCTTGTTAATATGATATCGACATAGCATATTGATCGACCTTGGAAACACAATTTCAATGGCTTTCATCAAAGCAAGATCTCTATCTGTCAAAATCACTTGTGGACACAACTCTTTTTTCACAAACAATTGTTTAAGCTTATCTAGCACCCAACAAAAATTCTCAGTTTGCTCAGACTCAATATAGGCAAATGCGACAGCAAAAGTCAACTCGGTTGATGTCATTCCAACAATTTCAAATAGAGGTTGCCTATATTTGTTTGTCTTGTAAGTGCTGTCCATAACTAGCACAGTAGGAAAAATATTCAACAACTTAACTGAATCTGGATGAGCCCAAAAGATATCTCTAATAACTTCAGAGTCATCTCTTTTTCTACTCCAATAAACATAACCTGCTTCCTCAATAAGCTTAAACAAATGTTGTATCTCACTTCTAGAACCTCTTATATTTTTTACTATCGTACTCTTCTGTTTGTATATTTGCGTGATCCGAGTGACATTATCTGGATCTTGCTCTTGCAATGAAAGCAGTATATGTCTAGGTGGAACCTTTCTCTTTGTCAAATCAATAACATGTTGCTTCTGATCCGCTGTCAACCTACCGACAAATGCGTGACCTTCTAATCTATCAGGTAAATCATGGTTATGAACTCCACATTTTACATCAATTTTCCATCCAGATCCATCAGCCGCTGGAATTGATCTGATTCTAAATGGACATTCACATTTTTTCGTCGCACTCAGAGTTCCACTAACAATATCTCTGTGTTTTCCTCCTTTATCACATCCAAATATTAATTTGTTACTTCTTCCTCTCTTACCTGTTTTAATATCTGAACGAGTGATGATAACCGTAACTTTATTTCGGATTCCGATCTCTTTAATCCATCTTATCACCTCTTCTCGTGTATTAAATTTTTGAGTAGTTGAAAAAACATCAGACGTATCTACCCATATTTGATCTTTATCGCATATTTGTAAAGGAACTTCTGAAATTACATACATACGTAAAAAAAAATAATTTAAAAAAAAAATTCAAAAAAAAAAATAAAAAAAAATGCCAATACAAACCGGAACACTTATAGAAAGAGTTCCGGTAGCCAAACGATTCACAAAACGAACCGGAAGACTTGTTACAAGAGTTCCGGAAGTCAAATTTTCAAACCGGAAGACTTGTTCCAAGTGTTCCGGTAGTCAAAATTTCAAACCGGAAGACTTGTTCCAAGTGTTCCGGTGATCACACGAAAATTCCAATACCGGATGTCTTTTTTAAAGTGTTCCGGTATGAAAAAATATACATACCCATTTGCGAGTCTCAGAGTGTTCCGGTTGATTGGGGGTCTAAAAAAAAATGAAAATAAAAATAATAAAATATTAAAATATATGAGGATAAAATGGGTATTTTTTTAAAAATGTAGGGGTGTGGGTACAAGTGTAGGGGTATAGGGTAAAGCTTCCAAAAATTCATATTTCAAAGTCTTGGTCCAAACTATGACCATTGCAACATTACATTAACAGAATATGCTTCCAAAGAATTCCTATACTCCATCTTAATTACCCTTTGATGATCACACGCTAAGCATATGCTTCTTAATATTCTACCAAACTTTTTCCCTAATATAAACCCTTCCAATACCCTATTTTTCATATCTTCATAAATCACTACATTATGAAGTTTGGGAAGAGACTCAAGCAACAAGTTCAAGACACTTTGCCAGAGTGGAGAGACAAGTTTTTGTCGTATAAAGAATTGAAGAAACTTTTGCGACTCTTATCTTCTGTTGGTTATGGAAAAGGTGAAGCTGAGTTTATGTATTTGTTGAATAATGAGATTGATAAATTCAATGGATTCTTCATGGAACAAGAAGAGGATTTCATTATCCGACACAAGGTAAATATATTACTAATAATCAATATTTTTTTAGTTATTATTTTCATATTTTATGTAGTGAAAATATTAATGATTTTAGTGAAAATATATATTAAGATAAAACTGCATGGATTGTTGAATAAGACATGAATACTAGGAATATGTTACGTGTCGAGTAGACAAGAACATAAGTCACTTTTATAAGAAGCTATTACTTTAAGTTTTTCTGAGGGTTGAGTTTTATATTTTAACAACTTTTTTTTTATGAGCAATTTTTTCTGAGAAATAATTAAATTATTAAAAAAATTTAATTGGTATTTACTGATAGTATAAAATATTCATCTATCTATTATAATGAAATACATGATAATTAATTTATATTTTCTGTTATTAAAAACATTATTGTTAAGATGAAAATGTTTGTCATTTTAATATACATATCTTTTTCTTTATTACTCCAGTTAATAATAAGAAAGGAAATGTAAATTGTTTCCTATTTATTTTGTGTGATTGAGTGGGTGAATTTTTAGAAGGGCTATTGATTATTCTTGATATTTACGGTGGTTTGTGTCTGAGGAATATTCGTTGGAATATTACTTATAAGAATAAATGAGTGAAGTTTTGTGTTGGAAATCGTGATTGTAGAAAAGTTACTAAAAATATTGTCGGTGTTTAAAAATTTAATTTTACCAAAGATTTGTTTGTTGGAAGGATTCATAAATAATTTTAAAAAATAAAGTATTAGGAAATAAAAAATTTAAAGTTTAAACTTTTGAGTATTTTTTAATAAATATGTTAACAAATAATTTTATATTGTTTGAAAAGTTAATAATTATATATATATTTTAAAAACAAACACTGTTATAAAAATAAATTATCACTTTAACCAATTAGCATAAAATACTAATTAATGACATATATTGTATATACTAACTTTATTTAATTTAGTGGATTAGAAAATTAAAAATAATTTTTAATTAACTAAATTCTTCATAGGAAAAGTGAAATTATCATATAACTTCATGGAGAATCTTCATAGGAGAGAATATATATATATATATATATATATATATATATATATATATATATATATATATATATATATATATATATATATATATATATATATATATATATATATATATATATATATATATATATATATATATATATATATATATATATATATTAAGCATTAGGAATAATAAAAAATTGAAAAATGAATGTTGAATATGATCATAATTTTACAATTGGATTTTGAATGCAGGAAGTACAACAAAGAATCAAGAGAGTAGTTGATTTATGGGGACCAAATGGTAGTCAAGCTTCAGAAGAAGATTATAAAGAGGAAATGGAAAAAATTAGAAAAGCTATTGTTGATTTTCATGGTGAAATGGTTCTCTTAGTAAACTACAGCAACATTAATTATACAGGTATTAAAAAAAAAACTCCATCATAATCAAATATTTGTTTCAGTATATAATATAAACAAAATTTTATTTTTCTGATCCATATATAAATCAGATATATTAATATTAGTTATCCGAGAGAATAATGTTTATAAAACAATAATCGAAGTATATTGATTTTTTTAGGGTTGGCTAAAATTTTGAAAAAGTACGATAAGAGAACAGGAGGTTTACTTCGATTACCATTCATTCAAAAAGTATTGGAGCAACCATTTTTCACGACCGATTTAATTTCGAAACTTGTGAAAGAATGCGAGAGCATAATCGACGCAGTGTTTCCGGTTGAAGAAGAAGGTGAAAGAGCAAGAGAAGAAATTGTAGTAGTTGGTGAAGGGATTTTCAGAAACACTGTTGCAGCTTTACTTACAATGCAAGAAATGAGAAAAGGAAGTTCAACACAAAGTGCTTTTTCTTTGCCTCCTCTCAATTTGCCAGATTCTGATCTTATTCAATCAATTCAGCTTAATGCTGCTGTTCCAATTGTTTAGTTATTCAAATTGATTATGAATTATAATGGTAGTTAGATGATTATATTTACAATTTCCATTTTGATTAAGAAACTTGTTAAATTACTTGATACTTGAGATGAAAACAAAGCCATTTCTAGGATAAATGTTTAGTCATTAATTATTTTTTGGTAATTACATTATGTTTGGTTTAATGAGCTATAGTATCATTTTGTTTTTATAGATGTGTCTGCTAATACACAATTCAATGAGTAGTTTAACAATCTGTTACTTAGGAACTAAATGTGTACAAATTTTTTATATAGACTTAACTCAAAAGCCTTGTAACAAGAAATAACTTTTTTATACAAACTTAACTAAAGAACGTTCACCCAAGCTTTTTTTTTCAAGTTTAATTTACAATCTTCAAATTCTTTATAAAGATATTTCACAAGAGAATTGCATTCTTAAATAAAATAAATAAAGCACTTCACAAGAACAACACAACTCTTTGAAGAATTTTTCACTCTTTCGATACTAAGACAACTCTAGTGAAAAGTTTTTTTAAAAAAAATAGAATAAAAAATAATAGAGTGGTTTTTCATTTCGAAATTGGATAACCTTTTTTATATAGAAAAATATCTTAAAAAGGAAACAAACCTGGGGAAATTAAAGAGTTAATAGATTAAAACATGCTTTTAATCGATTAAGCTACCTCAAAAATGACAACCCTCGTTTAAAAAGGAAATCCTAAAATATTCTTATTCATACTTGTACCTCCCACAAGATATTTTCTGGTAAAGATTGTTATTTTGAGTCTAGTTGCACTAGACTCTTGATAGGATAAAGAAATTATGTTACACTTGGCGATATCATTACGAGAAAGAAATGTGCTGAGAGGAAGATGACTACTGCCAACACTATAATGCAGAATGTTGAAGAATATGTTTATGACATCATGGATGCCATTTTGGATACATAAACTAAGCGCATAAAGATTGGGAGTACGAGGAAACTCGTTGCAGAGAAATTTTTCATATGAATGTCTGACCTCAAAATTGAAGAAGGTAAAATTTATGATGTTTATCAAGTTGAGAAAGTTTTCATAAAAGATGTTTCAACATCTCACTTGTGTTTCTAAATTACTTCTAATAGACTTTACGAGACTCATGCAAGAAGTTGTATTGAAAGAAAGGCCGATGGTCATGCCGAAAGTTCTCCCAACATTGAACAACCAATAGTGGTTCAGAAGAAACAGCTAAAAAAGATTGGTGATTATGGCATAATTCTTTCTATTGGGGTTCTGTCTCAAATTTCTGAAATTTCGATTAGTAAAAAACATGATATTATGTTTTGTGAACTTTAAATCGGTGTTCCTCATAGTTGGTTGAATTTCAGTTATAAAATGTATGTCAGGAAACATGTCCCAAACATTTTTATTCATAATATTCCATATTTTAATGTGTGATTTGGCTACTGGTGAGACGTTCTTGATGCCCCACCCACACATGGGCCTGCTAGAAACTATCTACTTTAAGTCCTTATGCAGGAATATAAGGTAGCAAAAAAATAATTTCTACTTCCACAGTCGAAAAGGTGGTAGTTGAAGGTCTCATTCGAATGCTAAATCGAAAGACTGTTATTAAGTCATCTTTTCGAATTCAAATATTATTATAAAAAATATAAATAAATAAAATAAAATAAAATTATTAGATAAAATTAAATTAAAAATTAGATTAATAAAAAAAACTAATTGTTAATTAAAAATTAAAATTGAATCGGTTTAAAACGAAAAAATGGATTGGTATTGAAGTGCTCGAAAAAATAAAAATGAATACACCAAAGTGATCAACGAAAAATATACGATTCATAAAAATACAGCGTTTGGTCAAATTTCGAAATTAGTTTTACCCGCTAAAATGGCTTAAACTGTCAAAAATGCGACCGAAAAGTGGTCGAAAAATTTAAATGAGCACGCCAGGTTAAACTACGCGAAACGAATATTAATATCACTGCCATTTGTAAGCTCAATTTGGAAATTTTTTGTCCACTGATTTTTCGCATAGTTGACTTTTGATTTGACCGATTCGGTTGTAAATCCAACAAGTTTATTTCAGCTGATAAATTAGGTATTATGCAAGATGAAAGATATGATATGCTATGCAAATGATGCAAAACATGTGGAATCTTAGAGTCAACAATTAGGGTGTGACAGATGCCCCTATTTAAGTTTCTTCGATCCAGAGATGTGAAGATTGAAAATTTTGCTTCGACAAGATCGGAGAGACTTAAATACAAACATGAGCAACTTTTGACGCTAAGACGCCACAAAAATTCTTATGATATGATATGGATGCAAGACAAAGATCCTGTGTGGAGAAATGTCACGAGGGATGAATATATACTAGAAAGACGTTGCAACTCTACTAGGGAAAGACTGACAACTTCACGGGGAAAAGTCTCAAGGAAACACAATTGAGGAATATAAGATATTATAGACATCTGACAAGGTGACAAAGAGTATTTAGTAATACTTGAAAAAGAAAGGGGCAAACCCTAAACAGGACACAGACATCTGGAAAAGCATCAGATGTTTAAAGCAACACATAAATCAGAAACATCTAGAAGAACATTAGATGTGGGATGATACCAAAAATTTGAGAATATAACAGAGACTTCCAAGAAAGCATTTAACTTTTCTGTGGAATAACATAAACATTCAAAAAGCAGAAGCAACTTTACTAGGGAAAGGGTCGCAGTCATTAGAAGTTTTATTAGAAATGCGTTGAACAAAACCATGGAAAAGAATAGTAACAACCATCAAAGTCATTCAGAAGAACATTAAATGAACCTTGGAACATAAAGGAAAACATAAATAATCACAAAAACAAATAGAGATATTCATAACAACATTGAATAAGTTCCATTGGGAAATCAACAGTCATCATCCATGAACAGAACTAGGTGGGACAGAGTCACAACATTCAGAAGTTCATTGAATGAGGTGAGGAGAACTCTAGGAAATAAATGAAAGACATTCTAACAGACATCAGAGGCATTCAGAAAAGCATTTAATAAACTCTAGAAAATAACAGACATTAGAGACATCCAGAAGAGCATTGAATGAACTTTGGAAAACATCAGAGATATTTAGAAGAATGTTGAATAAACTCCGGAACACATCAGAGATATTCAGAAGAAAAAAACATCGAATAAACTCAGGAACATATCCAGAAAAGCATTAGATGAAGGATGGAAACAGACTTCAAAATATTCAACAGCTGTTAACCAAAGTTAGAAATAAATTGAAGACATCTAGAAGAGCATTAGATGAAGACAAAGATTCTGAAGATACATCTGAAACATTTAGAAAACCATTAAATACAAGGGGAAAAAGTTTGAAGACATATCTGGAAGAACATCAGATAAGCAACATCATGTCTGGAAGAACATCAGATAAGCAACATCATGTCTGGAAGAACATCAGATAAATAAGGTTGTATTTAGAAGAACGTCGGATAGACACAGAGGAGTTCTGGAAAAACATCAGAACAACTGACACATCAAGAAAAACATCAGACGGCAAAAGAGATGAAACTCTGGGAATGCATCAGAAGTAAAGACACATATGGAAAAACATCAGAAGATAAAAGAAATGAAATCCTGGAAAAGCATCAGAAGTAAAGACACATCTAAAAAAATATCAGACGGTAAAAGAAATGAAATTCTAGAAAAGCATCAGAAGTAATGACAGACATTAAAAGAAATGAAATTCTGGAAAAGTATCAGAATTAAAGACACATCTGAAAAAACATCAGACAGAAAAGAAATGAAATTCTGGAAAAGCATAAGAATTAAAGACACATATGGAAAAACATCTGACGACAAAAGAAATGAAATTCTGGAAAAGCATCAGAATTAAAGACGCTTCTGGAAAAACACCAGACTGCAAAAGAAATGAAATTATGGAAAAGCATCATAATTAAAGACACATCTGGAAAAACATCAGACGAAAAAAGAAATGAAATTATGGAAAAGCATCATAAGTAAAGAAACATCTGAAAAAAACATCAAACGGTAAAAGAAATGAAATTCTGGAAAAGCATTAGAAGTAAAGACATGTCTAGAAAAACATCAAACGGTAAAAGAAATGAAATTCTGAAAAAGCATCAAAATTAAAGACACATCTGGAAAAACATCAAACGGTAAAAGAAATAAAATTCTGGAAAAACATCAAAAGTAAAGACACATATGGAAAAACATCAAACGGTAAAAGAAACGAAATTCTGGAAAAACATCAAAAGTAAAGACACATATGGAAAAACATCAAACGATAAAAGAAATGAAATTCTGGAAAAGCATCAGAAGTAAAGACACATATGGAAAAACATCAGATGATAAAAGAAACGAAATTCTAGAAGAACATCAGAATTACAGACACATCTGGAAAAACATCAGACGACAAAAGAAATAAAATTCTGGAAAAGCATCAGAGTTACAGACGTATATATCTGGAAACTCACTAGGGGAGTAAAAACAAATTATGGAAGGGTATTAAAATCAGAACGAAAACATCTAGAAAAAAGCCAGATAGGTTCTGGAAGAACATCATAACAAAAGACTTAATCTGGAAAAACATCAGAGAGAGAGAAACATATCCAATAAAACTTCGGAAAGATTCTGGAAAAGCGTCAGAATCACAAAGGAATATTTGGAAAAATATCAGATAGGTTCTGGAAGAACATCATAACAAAAGACCCAATTTGGAAAAACATCATAGAGAGAAACACATCCGGTAAAACCTCAGATAGATTCTGGAAAAGCATCAGAATCAAAAAGGAATATCTGGAAAAATATCAGATAGGTTCTGGAAGAACATCAGAACAAGATTCAATCTGGGAGAACATCAGAGAGATAAACATATGTGGCACCCAAGAATGGCATTGGATGAAAAGAGGAACAAACATATTCAGAAAAACAATCGGATAAGAAATGTCATATCTAGAAGAACGTCAGATAGACATGACAATATCTGTTGGGTG